TGTGTGTGTATTTGGTGAAGAAACATAGGCCCAATCCCAATGCCCCCCCTAAAGCCTTTAACCCTAAACCCTCAGGGACTTATCTGACGTCATCTGGTAAATGGTTGAGTGCGAGAGGCTGTAAGGGCTTGAAATGGTATCGATACGAATGGGACAGCACTTAGCATGACGTCATATCATGTTCCAGGCTTTTGCCTCACGAGACGAGAGTTATTTGTCAAATAATCTATTTACTCGTTTTGTCGAAACAGCTTTAATAACAAAATGAAAATAAATGGTTGATGAATAAACCAGCTGTGTAATATACACGTCTCTGCTTTTATGTGTTTTTATGTTCCATCTTAATCCTTAATGTTTCTGTGTAAATGTAATATGCCAGCCTGAACAAACCTTTTTGTTTACCTTTTTTATCCTTACGTCTCCATGCTTCCACTGGTAACCCTGTGTTTAACGTCACATTGCTATGAATTGTGGGTAATTCCCTATGGCAAAGTCTGCAGAAATGCGGAGAGCCCTCAAACACTCAACAATTTGACAGTGGGACAGAACCTAAAACTTAAATTGCTGTGGAGCTTTAATATTGTCTCATTTGTGTGAGAGGGTTACGTAATGCAACTCATTGCAAGCAGACATTTGCATCTAGCTTTGAAGTAGATAGGATTTGTCTAGGGTTTGGCAAATATGTGAACTAATATGACACGGATATAAAAAAAAAGGATGACATTTTATTGGCACAAAGAATTGTGGCCAAACACTGTTGTCGACAGGCGAGTAAAGGGACTAAATTGCAATGTCCGCTGCCGTCCACACCGATTACAGAGCAAACCATGTCATCCAACAGTTCTACAGCCAGTCCAATCAATGAAATTGCCTGCTGGCACAACACAGCAGGACAGATGTGGGTGATGTGAGCGGGGTGAGCGGATATTTTCCTGGGATGGCAGAGGATGTACAGTAAATATGGGAGGGATTTATTGGTTACAGGCAGGTTGCTGTGATGTGGAATCAACCCAGAAGATTAGTGTTACGGCCACACACAACACTTACTGTATATAAGTTGTAATCTTCAAGCATCTAGATAGACAGAGCAAGGGGACGTTAAAGAGGCAGATGTTGGCATCCCACGCTCAAATTTGGTTGCTTATTGTATATATTATTGCGCTATTTAATTTGATTACATTTTACAGTTTATGCAGCCTCAGATATTCTTCCAACTATGTAATTGTGCTCAGTCAATTGAGCCCAAGCTCAAACAAAGGGATGTATCGCTATTTCTCCACCTGTGTCCCTGTAAGTGAACATCCAGTAAAAGCTGAAAGATCTGTTTTTGTGTGTGTGTGTGTGTGTGTGTGTGTGTGTGTGTGTGTGTGTGTGT